CCTGGCTTTTAGTAAGCTTGTCAATTTCGTCCAGTGGAGAGCTGCACATTGCCTGCCTGATGATGGTTTTTCATTGTATTTTTTCTTGAAGTCTTCGTAGTCTGCTGTCCTGCTGCTTAGGAGTCTTGAGCATTCTCCGATTGTGGTAGGCCAGTCACATGGCATGATTGACAAATCATTAATGTACGCTTGTTGTTTTGGGGTTCGTTCGTCATCGGGGCGTCGTGTGACGCGTGTTGTTATGGTGGTGGGCGGAGTGTGAAAACCAAGGCCTTCGTACTGCTGGACGGATAAACCCATGGCTTGAGCCTGAGACTGATGACTCGCAGCTGCTGCTAAAGTTGTGACGGTTGATGACATTGCAGGTGGGACGTGGGATAGGTGTCTAAGGTCATAGTAATGCAAAGACTGTGACAGGCAGTAAGACAGTAGCAGGAACAGGAACGTAAGCAGCCTAACATTAAAATGAATTATGGTGCTTAAGGGGGTACAAGTGCCATGAACATGTTTGGTGTCAGTTGGATGTCGATGGGGAGGATGTGCAGCTGCACAATATCCACAACTCGCGACAGTGCTACATATGCTTGCCCTAGTCAGTTCGTGTTTACTAACATTATAAGTCAATAATGACGGGATCCGTTATGGTATCGCCCTGCACTTTTGTGTACAGTTCTTGCAAAAGCAGGCACGACCTGGAACATTTTGTGTTCAAGCTTGGCACCATTCTTGTATTTGACCTCGCATATCCTTGGCAGGCGGATTATGGTTTGGGAGTCCAAAAGCTGGAGTGACAGCATGGATTCGGTGATTTCTTGCACGATTGCTTAAGCACCGTTTTCGATTTTTTGGGCCGACAGGTTCTTGGTAACCATGACCATCATGCCGGGAGCGAGGTAAAGGTGATCTAGGAGCACGTCTTGGTCTTGCATTGCTTTGTACAGATAAGCTACGTCTTCAGGCGCATACCTATTTCCTTTGTGAAGCTTGTCGGCAGCTGTAATATGCTGCAGTGGGTGTGTGCCATATCTTGGTTATACTTGTCGATTTTCGTTTGTTCCAGCTATGTGCCATGATTTTTTGGGTGCAACGAAATTTTGGGAAGACTTTACCACACGAGTCTGCAAAAGTGCCAGGATGGGTTCGGTTGGTGGCTATACCTTGATCACATTGAGTGCGTCAATCCATGCTTGATTATTAGGATTTTGTCGGTGATTTGTTCCTAGTTGAATTTCTTGAAACATGTGCCACATGGCCCAACTGTATGGCTGGTGTATGCATGCATCTTCGTCACACTTACGGTCACACACGGCGGCAAGCTGATGCTTGTCACCACGAAGGAGTATTAATTTTCCAGCAAAAGGAAGGGTGGATGGTATGTGTTTCATGGAATGGTAAAGCAGCTGCGCATGCGATACCCTGTGACTGGGGGTTCTGTAGTGGCGTGGTGGTTGTCGTGAACGGGTGAACCATTTGTTGCTGTGGCTGGGCAATTGTAGCGGCCGCAGAAATTTGTTGCTGTGTTGGGGTAGTGTCTATACCCAGCATTTCAGGGTACATGTCGACCGTAAAGTCGTCCACACGCCTGCGTATCCGCTGCTCGTTTTCATTGGTGGCAGATGTACCTGTTGAGACGATGCCATAAGTAAGAGGCGTTTATTTCGGTTATTAGGCAGCTGTGATGCACGGACAAGCGACCAATATTACCACTCATACAGAGTCATATTGCGAAGGGCACGGTATGTAAGAGAACATATACAATGGTTCTTACTACCAGAGACTGCTGTTAATTAGTTCGCGGTTCTCGATCAGTTATTGGAACAATGCGTTTGTACGCTACGAAAGCTACGTATGATACAATTCGAACACCCCAGTCATTTTATTACTCACCAGGTATTATCATGAGCAATAGTAGCAACCCAATAAGAAGGACAGCAGCGCCCAGCGCTGCAAATGATGTTGGATGTTTTCTCCGTTCATGATCGAGCAAGCGAGTATGTTGCACCGGCTTATGACGTTGCGTACTCGCTGACAGAGCTCCATGAATTGTTTGTCAAAAATTTCAAGAGCATACATAAACTATTCCACATTAATGAATGCCATCAACTACAGAGGGTATCGCATGCAGGTAAGCATGGTGAACGAGGAGCACAGATGAGAACGTATGCGCAGTAGAACCCGATCTCACCGGCAGCAAGGATGATGAGCGTTGCAGCGTAAACTGCTGCAAACGAAGTCGTGAAATGAGACATGGCTAATAAAGATGAACTGCTAATCGGACAGCACGTAATCGACTATTTCGAGAAATTCAGAATTCTGATAGAGACTTTGTTCATTTGCAGCCGGTAGAAGGCATAGTAATATACTCGGCGTCTTCGTACGACTAATACCGAAGCGCGCGAAAATGACTAGGGAGAATCTCCAACAAGTGCCTTTTACGACAGAGATTACGGATTTGCAGTTCGAAAATGACTAGCGAGACTCTCCCTAGGGGTGCCTGTACGACACGGATGAAAATGACTAGCGAGTTTCTCCCTACGGGTGCTTGTACGACAATGAAAATGACTAGCGGACGTAAGAAAGGCGGGGGCATCTAGGGGTGCCTGTACGACACGGATGAAAATGACTAGCGAGTTTCTCCCTACGGGTGCTTGTACGACAATGAAAATGACTAGCGGACGTAAGAAAGGCGGGGGCATCTACGGGTGCTTGTACGACAATGAAAATGACTAGCGGACGTAAGAAAGGCGGGGGCATTGAATGGTTCGGGACTCTGTGATGATTACTTATGGCTGCTTGCAAACAAATTGCGGGATGCGAGGCGATCGCATCTGAAGTGCACTCTTGCGTACTTCTGAAGTCGCAAGTCGCAAGTTGCAACTCGCAAGTTGCAAGTCGCAAGGAACACGCAAAATTTCTATTATGATATTCTATATACGCGAACACGTACGTGTGCATACTCAGTTGTAGAGCGGATCTCACAATGGGAGAAGTATTGAACCGTTACTACTACAGCAAACAAGTGCGCGAACGTGTTTGCCACCTCTCAGACGCTTGTGGAGCTGGTGCAGGCCGACGACCAAGAATTGCTCTCCGGTCTGGCCACCGCTATGACAAACTTACTGGGCACTCATTGGAGCGGCCCTGAGATTAGCCGTGCATTGTCTGAGCTGGGTTATGTCCGCAAGAAGGTTTTTACCAGGGCATTCGAGGCACGGGAATCAGCTCAGCTGGCATATCGCGAGCTTGTGTGACAATATGTTCAAATGGCCCAGAAGCCTCCCACTCTGTAACAATTCAATTCAATCTCGTGAGCTTGTGCGCGCGCGCGCGCGTGTGTGTGTGTGTGTGCGTGTGCGTGTGTGTGTGTGCGTGTGTTGCAAGTATTTTACCGTGCCTGACACTGGCCAGGGACTGCTGCCCAGCCCCAACGGAAAGACCACCTAAGCTCCTCCCGCAGACAGGAGAGGGGCGTAAGGGGCCTCTGTCCCCTCCTAAGCAGCCGAGAGCCGCAGGTCCACCAGTTCCGCTTTCCTCCCCCGGGGTTCAAGGCTCCGTCACGCGAGTTTGAGCACTGAGCCTGAAACACACAAGAAGACTGGCTCTTGGGGTGAAGATTCAAGAAGACCGAGGAAACCCGGAAACCCTGTACAGACCCTACCTCTCCCTATTACGGCACCAGGCCCTAATAGAAAGCTCGGTCTCTCACCTGATTCTCCATTGATTGCCTGCAACGGGTGCAGGGGAGCGGGCAGGGTTCATCATTTGTGCTGAAATCCATAATGACCACCTGAAATCGCCATGCCCCAATGTTTGCATCAAATGCTTAGACGTTTCCGGTTAGGCTGTTGGAAGTTAGAGATTAACTGACCTAACGGCCATGAGTGCACAGCGTGCACCTGCAGGCTTTGTGACTGCGGGGTGGTTGAAGACGAAATGCATGTCTTTGTGGAATACCCGGTGCACACTAGTACACGGGCATAGTACGAACGTGACCTCACATTTCAAGGGTGCAACATGCGCACGATTATGACCGAGGCCCCACCCCTGGCACTAGCCAGGTTCCTCTCGGAAGTCTGGGAGACCCGGCATGTTGCTCTAAGGCGCTTCGTGTACAAGCGGACGAGGGCGGACGACGATGGTCCACCATGTAACCGCCCTAAAAACGATTTACCACCCATGGGCCCCCCGGCTCTTACGGACACCCCCACACTTGTGCGGAACTTGCGCAGACTAGGCCAGTTCCTATCAATCCACCGCCGTTGCTAGGGATGCCTCGAGGCAGTGTGGTTGTTACAATGGGCTCCAGACTCACAAAGAGTACAGCCAGCGGGCCAGCAGGCCGTGCACTGCACCTGATACGATGAGGGCAAACAAGACTCCCACCCAGACCAGACAACGCAAGTCACCTAGACAGCCAAAAGCAAATGCAAGGGCAGGCTCAGAACCCGCAACCACAGGGGAATTTGCCATTAGACTCCCCAATTGGCGAAAGTCCTCGGAACCCAACCAGAAGGCCCATAAGCAAATACTGCAGTAAGTTCTTAGCAGCTGTTAAGAACTTGATGAGATACAATAAGCAAATACTGATAAGAACTAGATGAGGCGTGAGTGAGCTTGTGCGTATGAATAGCTACATTGCATTGCTCAGACAGACGGAGCCACATAGGCCGCAAGCCACTTCAGCATAGTTGCGCCTGCGATCGGCCATAGCCCGCAGACGCGGACGCCGCAAATGCTATCTGTTTACACCCTACAGGCGTGGTTCACGTACGTATTCGCGTATATAGAATATCATATAGAAATTTTGCGTGTTCCTTGCGACTTGCGACTTGCGACTTTAGCAGTACGCAAGAGTGCACTTCGCTTCGCACCCGCAATTTGTTATGCAAGCAGCCATAAAAAATAATACGGAAGTAGCAGGCGGGGGCCCATAACCATTTACCCTGCCTTTACTTCAATGTTGTCGGGCTGATGGACCATGTTTCAGGTCAGGTTGCTTTGTGTCAGGCTTGTCCGCTTGATCTGCCATAGCTGAACCAGAGTAACATCTATAGGTAAGGTACTAACGTGCAAGTATTATAATGCACAAGCCTCTGTTTCTGGCGATTCTAATGCAGGATCCAGGCTGTCGTACAGCTTTCTCATTCTAATCCCAGAAGCAGGCCCTTCTCATTTATAGGGTGATTTCTCTTTGGAATTATTCTACGTTAGAATTCTATTTCTAATGGTCGGCGCAACCCTACCCATGAGCTGAAGTGTATGAGCAAAATCGACCACGACAACAGACGACAACGTGCATGTTTGGTACTGGCTTTGACCACCACTTAAACACTTTCACCAGACGCTGTAAGATGCACCGCAAGTGACAGCACACCATGCAAGCAACTATGGACAACTAAACCATCCATCCTTAGTCTGTTGCAGTCCTGTCAGTATTCCCAATTCTGCACCTGCAGCCTCATTTTAAAGCAGAACACCCAATCCTAATCCTCCAACTGTGTTCCCAATCCTATGGCAGCGAGCTCATCCTAAACTTGCGAAAGCCTGCAATCCCCATCCTGTCGACCAGGGTCTCATCCCCATCCTTGGCCAGGGTTCCCAATCCCCTCCTTGGTCAAGGTTGCAATCCCCATCCCTCAGACAGGGATCCCGTCCCCATCCTCACCCCGACAGCAATCCCCATCAAAAAAGTAGTGTAGCACGCCTAATCCCTAATCCTTGCCTTGGGCCCCACATCCCATCCTGACGTCGTCACCCCTATTCCCCATCCCGCCTGACCAGTACCTGCCCCCAATCCCCCATCTTTGCAACCCTCTGGCTAAGTTGTTGGCAAACTTACCTCGCATTTTCAACCTTTGGTTCCCTTATGGAACAAAACTATGTGGTAAGCTCGTGTGGTGTGTAAATAATGATAATTGTGTGCCATAGTCAGTTGCTAGGTATGGGGAACTAAAGGGGAAGAAGAGCGTACGTGTCTTAACCTAGTTAAGCCTGGTTATGCCTTGGCATCCGGCCTAAGGCCGGATCGTAAAGCTAGTAAAGCGACAACGTGCACTAGGCTTCGGCCTCCGGCCTATTTAACCCAGTGCTACGCTGTAAGACTACAAACTAGGTGCAGAACAGTGAAGCTGCGTAGCACTGTTGTTGTAGCTCACAAACGGAGTTCCCCTAGAGATTGGCGGAGCTAAATTTGTAAAATAACGTCACGGACAGCAGTATAAGTACTGCTCTAAAAAAAAGCAAAGCCAACGTCGCACCGTATATAAATTTTGTAAACTACAACCAAATAAAAAGGCGCCATGAAATAAAATTTATTATAAGCACTCTTATTTTATATTTTCCTTTTCTATTAATAACATCTTAAAAAACAAACAAATTTACTTTAAGTACTGGAAAAACAAATAATGTAATATTTCAAGCCGAAGGCCGGATAGTGGACCCTTAACTACAATAAGCTACAAGGTTACGTAATTTGTGAAAAATTCGGTGTTCAAGCGCTCTTGTATTAGTTTGATTTGCGTCGCACGATCATATCTGGTTGGTTGTTTGCTGTTTGCTCCTATACGATGACTCGCTGTTTATGCTTTGGTTGTCTGCTATTATTGCTGTCGTTTCAATAGACGTTGGTAAAGTTTGTGCAACGCATTTGTCGGGTAGCCATTAGGTGTGCGTATCAGCGATGTCATGTTTGGCTCTGTTGCACTCATTTGGTTGACGCTGCGAATGGTATTGTTTGGTACATTATTGCACAAGCACTCCTGCACAACTGGTATTTGCACGCAAGGTCTTTGTTATGGGTGTTGTTGCGTTGCCGTCAATCCTATGTGAACGCACAGCGTGTTGGTGGAGGTCATGGTAGTTGATATGATGGCTGTATTTGTTTGCTTGCGTCGTTGCGTGCTACAGTTCGGGTGTATTTGACGTGTGGGTTTGTGGTGCGCGCCCAGGATTGACAGTGTTTCATCGGATGTCACACGGGTTTCAGCGCGGAGGTGTGTGATGATTTGTTATGCTATGGGCGCTGCGCTAGATGTTGTCGTGGACGTTTCAATTTATGTTTTGGTGTAGTGTGCGAGATGATGTCGTTTCACCCAGGTGTGCATTCATGGTGGCTTTGTCCGTGACGACACACTTGGTATGGGTGGGCGCACCAGCATGGTCGTGCATGTATGATGCAGCAGATGTTGTTGTGATATATATCTTATGTTATAGTTCATGTGAGACTGAACGACTCGAAGAAGACAGGCGTTACCCACCATCTAGGGTTAAAGAGACACAGCAACTAGAGTTACGCAAGCTCCATCTTCAACAAGCGGAGGGTGTGCGGGCGGGCTGGCAGACAGGCGCGTGCTGAACAATAAAAACAATACCAGCTGACCCGGTTAATTTATGCAATACATGGTGGCCGTGAGTGCACGGAGCCAATGCTAAACATGTAGCTATAGGTAAACAATTACCCACTGGGCTAACTAACCGCGGCCAGTCACATGGCATGACGGACATGTCGTTCAGGTAGGCTTCTTGCTTTTGAGTTCTTTCTTTGTCAGGGTGTCGTCTGCCGCGGCTTGGTGTTGCCCTGCTGGGGAATGACGGTTCGTGAAACCCAAGGCTCTGGTACTGCACAATGGATATCCCCATGGCTTGATCCTGGGACTGATGACTTGCTGCTGCTGCTGAAGGGTTGACGATTGTTGCAGTTGCAGGCGGGAGGTGGGACAGGTGTGTGAGACTGAGGTCATGGGATGAAGGTCATGAACAATTTGAGACCAGCAGGCAGTCAGCAGCAACAGCAGGAGCAATAGTACGATGCATGGTGTTTAAGGGGATATATGTGCCTTGAACATGTGTGTCAGTTGGATGTCGATGGGCAGGATGTGCAGCTGCTCAATACACACATCTCGCGACAGCGCCACATTTGCCTGCCTCAGCCGGTTCATGTTTGTGAAGTCAACTATGACGGGATCAGTGATGGTATCACCCTGCACCTTGTGTACAGTTCTTGAAAAGGAAGCGCTATATTGGGGACATTTTGCGTTTTAGCTTGGCGCCATTTTTGTATTTGACCTCGCATATCCTTAGCAGGCGAACGATGGCTTTGAAGAGCTGGAGTGACAGACGGTTTCGGTTACTGGACGATAGCCAAGGCACCGTTTTCGATTTTTGGGGAAGACAGGTTCTTGGTAACCATGACCGTCATGCCGGGTGTAACACCAAGTAATGAGTACTCAGGGAGATGCCAGGGGAGCAAATCCCTTCTTACATTCTGCCCCCCTTCAAGTGAACGTCCTCGGGCGCCCCCGGGCATATCCTGTAGGATTTAGGTTGTTATAGATCCCCTAGGATTTTGATAAATGTTCGCTATTGTGACATTTCGTCAGTCCCTGTCCTAAATGGGGGCCTCTGATTTTACTCAGCTGGTAGACTTCTCGCCCACCCGGGCATCCACCTTTGGGGTGAGAGTATGCTGCATCATGCCTGGTGTGCGATATGTTCACAACAGGATTCGGTCCGGGGAGCAGTGTTTTATATTTTCGTTTTGAGCCTAGTACCCTATAGTAATGGACTGGGTGTTCCTTGCGTTTACAATTCCTATTTGTATAGTCGCTGGGGGGGCTGCGCCCCCCCCAGACCCCCCCCTCAAAGGCCGTACGGTGTGCTGTAAACAACACCTGACGTCTGGAAACACACATGCCGTAACACCATCGTTCTGTGCACCTATCTGCATTTGTGCCAGTGTCTCTGTGAGCAGGGCGCGGAGCCACTTTGACTGTCCATAAACATCGTGAGCACGTGAAGGCAAAGATATATATATGTATGTATAGTCTTCCATAAGATAACTATCTCACATGCTATGTACAAATATGTACCCTTATGTACACTGTCGGCACCATCAACACCACTGCATTGCACCAGCCGCCGACCAGTTGCTGGCTAGGCCTCTGCACCACATCAGAAGCTAGTCACTCATTTGGTACCGCCCCTTGATCACGGCCTCACGCCACTTCTTCACCGCCACGTCGAAGGGGAACGTGGGCAGGTCCTGCGTGAACAGCTCCTGCGTAAACATCCTGACACAGAGCGCCAGGTGCTCGTCCAGGCGGTTGTGGACCTTGCTCTGCCGCAGCTGCTGCACAACTCCCCTCTCGGACTTGCTGAGTGCTCTGGACAAAAGGTTGTCGACCGTCCGCACTGTCAGCTAGTCACGCTCGTGCTGAAGGGCCCACGCTTCGTGGTTGCACATGGCTTCTTGGTGTTTTTTGGAGAGCTCGTGGCTTTTTAACATGGCCTGCCTGTCTCATGGTGATATCATCAAATATCTTATATATAAATAGTGTATAAGCTCCAAATGATCAGCTTTATATGTGCAGAAGGCATTTGGGGCGACTTATGGCCGAAGTAATAAACCAGTACGGCCAACTGACCCAACGATTCCATTTCTTCCAGGCTCAGACCCCCCATCTATTCCGACAAGCCGGGTGTCGGCTTCCTCGAAGCCGGAAAAAGGGCGGGCCCCCCTGCATCCGTACAGGCCGGTAGCTAGCGTGGCACGTGTGACAATTGACAGGTAGTGTCAACGCGGTGGGAGATGTGCTTTGTTGCAGCAGTGCTGATGGTGTGGGAGCTAAGCTTGCACCGGCGGAATCGTCAGCACCGCCTGCGGGCTCCACGCCAATCGCATCCATCCCTACAAATACGCGCTACAAGTACGCGCGTAGCGCGACCACCAGCATCTCGAGAGGCGTTTTCAGCGGCCAGCTACTACATCCCGGGTGCATGCCACGTGGACAGTGCGGGAGACCGCAATTCGGAATGCCCGTGCGGGCAAATGGTAACGAAAGCTGGGTGAAGTTCGGTTCTGTCTGTGATGTTTATCCCCGAAGCGCCAGCGGCCT